CCAAATTTCAAGTCTTAAAAATCATAGTATCAGCCCTCGGACTCTCGCTTGAGCGAGATATTCTCGCTTGAGCGAGAGAGGTTCACCTGGGAGGGTGAAATCCTGGGCTATACTGGAGGATTCTCGCCTGAGCGAAAGTTGTCTCGCCTGGGCGAGAAATGTCATTTTGGGGCTGTTGCCACTGTGAGATTCTCGCTTGAGCGAGAGGGTCAGATTTGAGTTTTTAAAATGGGCGAGATTTTCTCGCTTGAGTGAGAGATCCCTCGCTTAAGCGAGAACCCGACGAGACAACATTTAATGAGAAACCCCTAAACACAATCTAGGGTTTTAGAATAGAAGAAGAGTGAGAGAATAGAGCTTTTCAAGGGCAAAAGCTTGGATACTCATCTAAGAGCTTGAGAAGAGGTAAAACTCTAGATTCTAACTCTCTTTTCTCTCTTAAACTCACTTTGGGGTATGTTGGATCTCTTCTCAAAAATGAAGAAAACCATGGAAACTCATCCTCTTGAGTGATGGTTCATTTTAGGTCATACTTACCTTGTAAACTCTTGGTTTAGAGTTAGTATCTCAAGAATGGAAAGGGTTGTGGGTTGATTCATGAAAACCCCAAAAACCCTAAAAGTGAAAATGTGGTAAAAGGAGAGAATGAGTAAAATTCTAGAGGTAGAAGATGAGTTTATCTCCAAATATTGGAATATGAGATATTATGCATGTTTTAGATGGTTGAATATCTATGATGAATTTTTTGTATGATTAAATGATGCACTGTAAGTTGTTTATGTGATATTTGGAATAAATGACTAACATTGTGTTATGTGGTGGGATGAGGAAAGATCCTAAGGTTGGAGGCGGTGTCGGTGGAACTTGAGAAGTTGCCAAGAACCAAACCCAACACTCACCGAGGTAAGGATAAGTCTTTAATTGTGCATTTGAACTCGAAAATGTGTATTTTCTGATTATGCAATGATTGAGGTGTTAAGTACGCATTTAGTATAAACATATATGGGTGTGTTTATATTAAAGTAGGCGTAAGTTTATGGAAAAGAGAGTACGTGTACTTCTGGTTATGTGATTGCTCTAGTTGTGAATCACGTAATTAGTATAAACATATATGGGTGTGTTTATACTAATGCGGGAGTGGATTTACCGGAAATGTTTTATGGTGAAATAAATGAAAAGGAAATGTATTTTTAGCCGACCATGAATGGTTGGTGACTCTAGCTTGAGTATATAAGCAAGACTCTGGCTTGAGTATATAAGCAACACTCTGGCTTGAGTATATTAGCAAAACTCTGGCTTGAGTATATAAGCAAAACTCTGGCTTGAGTATATAAGCAAAACTCTGGCTTGAGTATATAAGCAAAACTCTGGCTTGAGTATATAAGCACGATTTGTTTTAAGAAAATGAGAATCTGCTCTTAGCTAACCTCAAGGGGTGTAGTGACTTTGGCTCAAGATATGTAGCAAAACAAAATGAATTTTCGAAGATGGTTTACTAACCTTTTTTTTATAATGTGGATTATCTTATAATGATGTTTATTGAATTAATGACTTACTCCTTTGTGTGTTCTGTGTTTTGTCATTCTTAATCCCATTGCAGATAAACAGGTGATATGAGGGAGACTCATTTTTGGGAGATTTAGGAGCTTTATATTTTGGATTCATTTATTGCACTATTTTGTACATGAGTGCTTATTGAATTACTTGGAATATTTTGTAACTATGGATATATGACTTATACGCTTGATTGTATTTCCGTATACACGTAGCTATGGGTATTTTGGAAACCCATAGCTAGTTGTATGCGGTAGACACTAGAGTCAAATTGAATGAATTATGTTTTTCCGCAACATAAATTGTATGGTAATATTCTATGTTAAAAGTCTTTTAAGGAATGATAATTGAGAAATCAAAGTAGTGTGATGACTATATGCATGAAAGGTTTAAAATAAAATAAAAAATTTCAAGGGTAGAATTTCGGTCCTTACATTTTTGGGATTTCCCTAATAACCAACGAATGGCAATTTCTTTTCCTTGTGTGGATCCTATTTCAATGGGAACTTGATGAGTCGATCCGCCTACACGTCTTGCTTTTACTGCTATATCGGGAGTTACTCCATGTATTGCTTGACGTAAAACAGATAGTGGATTTGTTTCTGTCTTTTGTTGAATCTTTTTCATAGCTCTATAGATAATTTGATAAGCCAATGATTTTTTTCCGTGTTTCAGAGTACGATTAACCAACATGTTAACTAATCGATTACGAAAAATGGGATCGGATTTTGCGGTTTTTTCTTCTGCAGTACCTCGCCGTGACATGAGCGTGAAAGGGGGAATTCGTTTTTTTATAACTTATAACGGCTAAAATAAGGGCTAAAATCATTTATTTTGGCTTTTTGGCCCCATATTGTAGGGTGGATCTCGAAAGACATGAAAGATCTCCCTCCAAGTCGTACATATGACTTTCATCGAATACGGCTTTCTACATAATTCTAGATGTATCTATGAGATCAAATATGGAATTCTGTTTACTCACTTGAAATTGAGTATCCGTTTCCCCCCTTTTCCTGCTAGGATAGGAAATCCTGTATTTTACATATCCATACGAATGAGTCCTTGGGTTTCCGAAATAGTGTAAAGTGCTTACAATCATTGCTATTTGGCTCGAACCTATTCTAAAAAAGTCGAGGCATTTCGAATTGTTTGTTGACACGAACAAAGTCAAGGAAAACCTCTGAAATTATTTCAATATTGGACCTTGGACATATCATAGTTTCGAATCGAATCTCTTTAGAAAGAAGATCTTTTGTCTAATAGTATCCGGCTCCAGTTCCCATACGAAACTTTCGTTATTGGGTTAGCCATACACTTCACATGTTTCTAGCAATTCACATGGCATATCAAATGATACAAGTCTTGGATAAGAATCTACAACGCACTAGAATGCCCTTGTTGACGATCCTTTACTCCGACAACATCTAGGGTTCCTCGAACAATGTGATATCTCACACCGGGTAAATCCTTAACCCTCCCCCCTCTTACTAAGACTATAGAATCTTCTTGTAAGTTATGACCAATACTAGGTATATAAGCAGTGATTTCAAATCCAGAGGTTAAGCGTACTCTAGCAACTTTACGTAAGGCAAAGTTTGGTTTTTTTGGGGTGATAGTGGAAAAGTTGACAGATAAGTCACCCTTACTACCACTCTACAGAACCGTACATGAGATTTTCACTTCATACGACTCCTCATTCAATTCTTTCGAAGTCATTGGATCCTTTTCCTCATTCGAGAATCTCCCCCCTTCTTCCACTCCGTCCCGAAGAATAACTAGGACCAATTCAGTCACCTTTTCATGTTCCAATTGAACACTTTCCTTTTTTGATTATTCTCAAAGCAAATGAGAAGATTATTCTTTTTACCAAACATATGTGGATCCAATCACGATCTTATAATAAGAACAAGAAATCTTTCTTGATCAATCCATTTTTTGCCCCCCCCCCTCCATTCTTCGAGAATCAGAAAGATCCTTTTCAATCAAGTTTGAACTTGTTCGTTTGGAATCTGGACTCTTCTACTGCTATTTACTTATTTACTTATATATATTTACATATATGATTTTCTTCCATCATTCCTTAAGTCCCACAGGTTTGATCCTGTAGAATCTGATTCATTTTGTCATTGAGTGAAAGGTAGGAAATAAATCAGATTGATTTTTCGATCAAAAGTACTATGTGAAATCTTCTGTTTTTTCCTTGGGAGGTAAGGTATCAGGAAGGAATTGGAATGTAATAATACGATTCATATAGATACAGAAGAAAGAGTTCTCTATTGATTCAAAGGCTATACCTACGAGATATGGATAGAGAAATAGGAAAACACCGAATTGGATCCCAAATTGACGGGTTAGTGTGAGCTTATCCATGCGGTTATGCACCCTTCGAATAGGAATTCATTTTCTGAAAGATATCGGCTTTCGTGCTTTGGTGGGTCTTCGAAATCCTTTCGATGACCTAAGTTGTGTTGAAGAGATATCTATATGATCCGTTCGATTGCGTAAAGCACGCGGTTGCAACGGAACTGGGTAGAGTATACAGAAAAGACAATTCGATTTCTATTCTATTAGTATTAGATTAGTATTAGTTAGTGATTTCGGCTCAGTGAGTCCTTTCTTTCGTGATGAACTGTTGGCACCAGTCCTACATTTTGTCTCTGTGGGCCGAGTAGAAATGGAGCTCAGCGACAAGAGGATTGTAACATGAGAGAAGCAAGGAGGTCAACCTCTTTCAAATATACAACATGGGTTCTAGCAATGCAATGTGGTTGGACTCTCATGTCGATCCGAATAAATCATCCTTTCCACGGAGGTAAATCTTTGCCTGCTAGGCAAGAGGATAGCATGTCGAAATTCTGTCTTGGTAGGACAAGTTTTTTTAGTATTATTAAATTGAAGTAGTTAACGGTGGGGTTACCATTATCCTTTTTTTGTGGTGGCGAATCTTGTATGTGTTCCTAAGAAAAGGAATTTGTCCATTTTTTTAGGGTCTCTAAGGGGCGTGGAAACACATAAGAACTCTTGAATTTAAATGGAAAAATAGATGTAACTCCAGTTACTTCGGATATGGTAATATTTTTGGCGCAAGAACGCAAGAAGAGGGGTTGATCCGTATCATCTTGACTTGGTTCTGATTTCTCTATTTTTGTAAAAATACCGAGTCGGGTTCATCTCCTACCGGTATCGAACAGAACATGTTGATCCAAATCTTCTTCATGGAAAACCCGCTTTATTTAGATCAGTAAAATCATACGGTTTTCTGAAATCATGTGCTATTGCTCGAATTCGCAGTCAATCCTATTTCCAATTGGAGCGGATAACAATTGAATCCAATTTTTCTAATCATTTTCGTATCCGTAATAGTGTGAAAAGAAAAGAAGGACCGACTCCATACCCGGTGTGGGTTCAGAACGTCGTGAGACAGTTCGGTCCATATCCGGTGTGGGCGTTAGAGAATTGAGAGGACCTTTCCCTAGTACGAGAGGACCGGGAAGGACGCACCCCTGGTGTACCAGTTATCGTGCCCACGGTAAACGATGGGTAGCCAAGTGCGGAGCGGATAACTGTTGAAAGCAACTAAGTTGTAAGCCTACCCCAAGATGAGTGCTCTCCTATTTCGACTTCCCTAGAGCCTTCGGTAGCACAGCCGAGACATCGATGGGTTCTTTGCCCCTGCGGGGATGGAGCGAAAGAAGTTTTGAGAATTCAACAGAAGGTCACAGTGAGACGAGTCGTTTCTCATTAATGATAGGTGTCAAGTGGAAGTGCAATGATGTATGCAGCGGAGGCATCCTAACTGACCGGTAGACTTGAACCTTTTTCCTACATGACCCGATCGATTCGGGTCAGGCACTCGCCATCTATTTTCATTGTTCAACTCTTTGACAACATGAAAAAACCAAAAGCTCTGCCCCCCTCTCCATCTATCCAAGGGATGGAAGGGCAGGGATCATTGGTGTCCCCTCCAGTCAAGAATTAGGGCCTCACAATGAATAGCCAATATGCCTTTTTTATCTCATGCCTTTATTCGTTCATGGTTCGATATTTTGGTGTCCTAGGCGTAGAGGAACCAGACCAATCCATCCAGAACTTGGTGGTTAAACTCTACTACGGTGACGATATTGTAGGGGAGATCCTGCGGAAAAATAGCTCAGCGCTAGGATGATAAAAAGCTTATTAACACCTCTCATTCTTATTACTTTTTCAATATGAAAAAATTAATAAGAATGAAAAATGAAAAGGTCGTCTTATTCAAAAACCCAATTATAAAATCCGTTCTCTCCCACTTCGCACCTCGGAATACACCATTCTTATAGAGAGAGGCACTTTCACATCTTCTCAAGCTGAAATTGGCTGGGGAAAGAAAAGGTTCCCTTTTTTAGGGTACTCCAGGGAACATATCCAATGGAAACGGGGTGGGGCCTATAGCGTAGAGGATTAGAGCACGTGGCTACGAACCACGGTTTCGGGGGTTCGAATCCCTCCTCGCCCACAACCGGCCAAAAAGGGAATTTCCCATCCCTCTAGTGGTAGGAAAATAATGATTTACTGTTTTATATAAAAAATAAAACACAAAAATTTTCGTAAATGGTGGATATTTTAAAATAAATATAGTATGCCCTAATCTTTGAATCGTCATATTTTTTTGTTTTACACCTCGTAATTCTTCCTCGGCTAGGCTTGGGCAGAATAGAAAAGCAAGTAAATTAGTAGCATAGCAAAAATAAAATGCGTTCCTCGTCATTAATATGTTTGCTCGCGGTAATTGTGGCCTCTCGAGAGAATTGATGACTGCATCAAAGATGCACTTGCTATTGCTAGTCCTAGTACATCTGAGAATTCTTAATTAGTTAGTTTAAATTAAATAGCTCGGGACTGCGGAACAAAGGAGTATCCCAAACCTACACCGAGGTATAGAAGGCGATTCTCAAATATCGCAGAACAGAATGGGATACGATGAGATAGAATGCAATAGAAACAAAGACAGGGGGGGACAGGTTACCTACTCTTAATGGTCAAAGCGAACCCTTTCATTCCGAATTAGTCAAATCTCCCAAAGTAGGATTCGAACGTACGACCAGTCAGTTAACATCCGACCGCTCTACCACTAAGCTACTGAGGAACAACGGGAAATTCGAGCTCATAGAGTTCAATTCCCATTCTCAACCAATGACCATAATGAGCTGAAGTTTCCTTCGTAACTCGTGGAACTTCTTCACAGTGGCTCCGTTCCATGCCTCATTTCATAGGGAACCTCAAAGTGGCTCTATTTCATTATATTCCACCCATATACTAGTTCCATTCATTCATTATCCCTGTCTTTGGTGTCATTAAGATAAGAGATGTCAGTTCTAGTCTATCTCTTTCTATTTCTATATGTATGGAAAGTTTAAAAATCATTATATAATAGAATAGTCCAGAAATGGACATCCTATTCCAGAAATTTATATCATAGCCCAGAAAGTCCAATAGAAAGGAAAAAGAGAGGTTCGGTTTGCGATGTTTTTTCAACCTTTCATACTGGATAATCTAGTATCCTTATGCATGAAGATAATGAATTCGCTCGTTGTGGTCGGACTCTATTATGGATTTCTGACCACACTCTCCATAGGGCCCTCTTATCTTTTCCTTCTTCGAGCTCGGGCTATCGAAGAGGGGACCGAGAAAAAAGTATCAGCAACAACTGGGTTTATTGCGGGACAGCTCATGATGTTCATATCGATCTATTATGCGCCTTTGCATCTAGCATTGGGTAGACCTTATACAATAACTGTCATAGCTCTACCGTATCTTTTATTTCAGCTCTTCTGCAAGAATCACAAACACTTTTTGAATTATGGATACAAATACAAGAATCCAAATTCAATACGTAATTTGCGCATTCCAAGAATATTCTTTAATAATCTAATTTTTCAGCTATTAAACCCCCTTTTTTTACCAAGTTCAATGTTAGTAAGATTAGGAACTATTTATATGTTTCGATGGAACAACAAATTGTTATTTTTAATAAGTAGTTTTAAAAATAATAAAAAATTACTAAAAAGATTAATAAAAAAAATAAAAAACATAAAATATATGAAGAAATGCGTCCCCCCCCTAAATATTTGAGAGACTCCCCCATAAAAAAACTTGTAATACCAACTCCATTTGGAATTCCATCAATTACTTGTCTATCAAAAAAAAATTAAGTTTAGCTAATTGTCTGACACTCGCAATTAAAGATATTCCATAAAAAGCATCTATGTAACCCCGATTATATGACCAATCATATATGACATTTCGTATTTTATCTGCAACCGTTTTTTTAAGAACGTTTTTTTCAACTAAATTAAGTAAGTTCAAATTTTGTAAAGGCGAATAAACAGGCTTATAGAAAAAAGATGCTATAAATATTCCGAAAAAAGCTAGACTTACTGAAAAAGTAGCATTTGTGAAAAATTCATACCAATCCACAGAATTATTTGAATTTTGATGTAAAAGGTCTATAGACGGAATTAACAATTTTGATAATATGTCTAAATCTATTCCTTCTTGGTTGAAATTTATTCCTATGGCCCCAATCAACAAAGTAAATAGTACTAATAAAAGCATAGAAAATAGCATAGTATTGTCCGATTCATGAGGATAGGAAGAACAAGCAGTCTTTTTAGTACCAAAAAAAGGAATATAAAAAAAAAGACGTGTTATGCTTTTCACATTTCGATTAATTCGATGTGGATCTAGCTTTGTCCGAAAAAAATAAGTCCTTTCATTATTATTCATTGTTAATAACCCTAATAAATGAATTTTATTTTTAAAAAAAAAACATCCGTCTTTACCCCATAAAGATATTGAATATAATGAATTATTTTTTTTTCCATTGAAATTCTCAAAATCAACATTTAAATATCCGTCAAAAACAAGTAAATAGATCCGAAACATATAAAATGCAGTTAATCCTGCCGTGGAACAAGCTATTATTGCGAAAATTGGTGAATACAACCAACTATCATTAAGAATCTCATCTTTAGACCAAAAACAGGCAAAGGGCGGAATACCACAAAGTTATTGAATATTTGAAACAAATCCCAAAATTCCAAACTACCCGTTATCCAATAAAGACCCAAAATTCCTAATAATAAACCAAAATCTCCTACACGATTAGTTACAAATGCTTTTTGACAAGCATTTGCCGCAATAGGACGTGTGAACCAAAAACCAATTAATAGATAAGAACACATTCCAACCAATTCCCAAAAAATATAAATTTGTATCAAATTAGAACTAGTAACTAACCCTAACATTGAAGTATTAAAAAGAGTCAGATAAGCCTAAAATCTCAAATATCCTTGATCATGAGACATATAATTATCACTATAAATAAGAACCAGAATGCCAACAGTAGTAATTAATATTGACATAATAGAGGTAAGTGAATCAATCAAGTAGCCAAACTCTAAAGAAAGATCATTATTTATAGTCCAAGACCATACATATTGATAAATAAAACTTTTATTGATTTGATGAATAGACAGATCGACCGAAAAAATCATAACTATACTTAGAAAAAAAATACTAGGAAAAGCCCACATACGGCGAAGATTTTTTGCTGTCGTGGGAAAAAGTAGGAGCCCCACTCCTATTAATATAGGAACCGGAAGTGGAATGAAAGGTATGATCCATGAGGATTTATGTATATATTCCATAAAAAAAAAAAGAAAATAAAGAATACAAAATATTTTTATTCTTAATGAGTTTTGTTTCTTATTCGCCGGTTTTATCTCTTTTGTAAAAGTTTCGGTTAATAAACAAGTGAACATATAAACAGAATTATCTATTATTAATTTTTCTAAATCTTTGCGCAATACTTTCAATATTGCGAAGTACAAAGTCAAAACGGGCCAATAACCAAATTTCGAAGTGAAAAAAGAAACTTTGTATAAATAAAATAATAAATATTATTATTGATATTGATAAATAAAATTTTTTATTTGAATAGAAAAATAAAATTTGTAAAAAAAAACGGTTGTTATTCAACGTTTTACTTTAACATAGAAAACATAAAAAGGGGTAATTCGAAGAGATAAAATATATGGCTACTTAAAGAATAATTAATTTTCATTTACAAAAAAAAAAATGTCTTTCACATCGAACTTTATCTAGAACTGAAAAAAATTATAGTAGTTGGATGGCAGTTCCAAAAAAGCGCACTTCTATATCAAAAAAAAAAATTCGGAAAACTTTTTGGAAAAGGGGGGGGGGGTATTGGACAGCATTGAAATCTTTTTCATTAGCGAAATCTATTTCTACAGGGAATTCAAAAACTTTTTTTGTATAACAAAAAAACAAGAAAGTTGAATAATCTGAATTAGATGGATTCAAAGAATATGTTCTAATATACAATAGAATAGCTAATATAGAATTGTCTATAATTGGATTTTATTATTAAATTTCTTATTAATTATTAAAAATTTTTGTATTAATTTACTAAATTTTTTCTAATTGTAATAAATAAAATAAATAAGAATTCGAATCGAATTCTTATTTATTTTATTTATTAGTTTAATGTTTACTAAAAAAATATAACATTTTTATCGAGTCTTTCCATATCGACGATTGACTAAAAATAGGTTATTATGATTTCGAGTAAGCCGCTATGGTGAAATTGGTAGACACGCTGTGACACCCTAAATTTAAAGTCATTAAATTATAGTATCAGTCTGGGGACTCTCGCTTGAGCGAGAAAGGTGTCGCTTGGGCGAGAGTGGCTCACCTGGGTGAGTGAAATACTGGGCTATAATGAAGGATTCTCGCATGAGCGAGAATTGTCTAGCTTAAGCGAGAGCTGTCTCGCCTGAGTGAGAGTTTTCTCGCTTGGGCGAGAAGTAGCATTTTGGGCCTGTTGAGGTTGTGAGATTCTCACTTGAGCGAGAGCGTCAGATCTGAAATTTTAAAAAGGCGGGATTTTCTCGCCTGAGCGAGAATGGGCTCGCTTGAGCGAGAACCCGTCGAGTTTACTTTATAATAGAAACCCCAAACACATTTTAGGGTTAGAAATTGAGAGAGAAGGGAGTAGAAGGTGTAAAGACCCAAATTCTACCCTTGAAATTTTTTTCTCATTTTAATTCAATTCCATGCAATCACTCATAACTCACATTACCAATTTAATATCCTTAATTCAAAACCTTATTTCCCTCCTTACACTCAAAGCATGAATCAATAACGACGTACATAATCATTTGACAGAAAAACATAATTCGTATTAATGCAGATTAGTAATCACCGCATATAACTAGCTATGGGTTTCCAAAATACCCATAGCTAAACATATCCAGAGTTACACCCTCATGTTAGCAAATATATATCCATAGTACATAATGTCTTAACTATCAACTATGCACTCATATACAAGATAGTGCAATTGAATAAATCCAAAATATAACTCTCCCTAAGCTCTCCCAAAATGAGTCCCCCTCTTGTCACCTGTTTATCTGCAATGGGATTATCAATGACAAGTACACAAACATACAAAGGAGTAAGACGTTAATTCAATAAGCATCATTATAAGATAATCCACATTAGAAAAGGGTTAGTAATCCATTTTTGAAATTCATTTTACTTTGCTGCATAACTTGAGCCAAAGTCGCTACACCCCTCGGGGTTAGCTAAAAGCAGATTCTCATTTCTTTTAGGAGAAAACATGCTACATATACTCAAGCCGGGGTTTTGCTTATATACTCAAGCCAGAGTTTTGCTTATATACTCAAGCCAGAGTTTTGCTTATATACTCAAGCCAGAGTTTCGCTTATATACTCAAGCCAGAGTTTTGCTTATATACTCAAGCTAGAGTTTTGCTTATATACTCAAGCCAGAGTTTTGCTTATATACTCAAGCCGAAGTTTTGCTTATATACTCAAGCCAGAGTTTCACTTATATACTCAAGCCAGAGTCGCTAACCATTCATGGTCGGCTAAAAATATATTTTCTTTGCATCGAATTCACCATCAATCATTTTCCGTAAATCCACGCCATCTTTAGTATAAACACACCCATATATGTTTATACTAAATACGTGATTCACAATATAATAATTGCATGACTAGTAAATACACACATTTTCCATCTTCCGTAAATCTACGCTTACTTTAG